GTGACCTCTCATGATCAAAGTTAGGATTTTTGTTCATAATTTGTACCCTGGAACCTGTCCCCTTCTCACTTCAGCAATAAAAGTAATACAGGTTCACTGTGAATGGTTTGTAAGAAATAAATTTTAGTTTTCCTAACACTTTTCAGATCTTGTAGAATTTTTTTCTATATTTTCCCACTCAATAAAATAAATTTTATTCCTACCCAATAAAATTGTAATACAGATTACATATTTATAGTGGATATATGTTCACTGTGTTCAGAGCATTGGTGATCAACCCTTTCTCTCCCAGGTGAGGGCTCTCAATTACAGTGCGCCATCCACCGAGGAGGGCAAGCAACCCATCTCCCTCTCTACAGTGAGCCAGTGGTTCACAGAAGGCTACACAGACATCAGCTGGGTCACTAAAGTCCCTCCTAGGGCTTTGCTGTTAGCTCTAGCAAGGAACACCTTTTTGGCTTTGGGTTATAATGCTAGGAAGATGCTGCATTACATCTTGTGAAGGCAATTATGCCAACACAGTGAGGAAAGCAGACCAGGAAGAGAGACAGAAACAGAAAAAAGACCCACTACCATCATCTGAGCCATGAATCCAGCCATATTTCTACTTCCTGGTGATATAAACCAACACATGCTCTTTTTAGTTTAAGCTTGTTTGACATATATTCCTTTCATGCCCAAGAGTCCTGACAAATACAACTGATCAAAAGTTTTTCATATCATGGAATATTGTTTAGTAGCATGGTTTGAAGTGCCAACATAGCATTCCACCCCATGGATATATGATAATTCATCTATAACCTTATTAATATCAATAGTATTTCCCTCCTATTGATAACTTGGAGTTGTTTCCAATTATTTACAATTAAACATGTTAAGTTTCTTTTAAAAGCCTCAGCTGTACAATCAAATTTCATCTTCATGAAGTCTACGTGCAACTCCAAATGTGTGTGCAACATAGAAAACACTGGCCTAGACCACAAACAGTATATTGTTTGAAAATCTGTACATTTTGTCAAATATTAACTTACGGGGACAAGAGTCTCAGAGTGAAATAACCTTTAAACATCAAAGCTCCTCATATTGCACAATGATAAGTGATAGTCCTTATACCAAATACACAAATTCCTAGAATCATTCTTTTGCCCTTGTTCTTATATTGCCACTTCTTTTTCAAAGGAGATTACATATTTTTTGTAGTAATTCAAAATTATTTTTTAAAAAATAGTAGTGTTAGTTTTTAATTTGTTAAACTATGTTCTAGGGTTTTTTTATAACATGAGAAAATAAAGTTCAAGCCATCATTTGTTGATCTTGTTAAAATGGTAACGAAGTAAGAGATTCCATAAAGATATCCTATAGTTAAGACTGACACCTCTCCTTCCCAAAAAGCAAAGAACAAGTAAATATTCAGGGCATTAAAATATACTAAGTATTAGTATATAGTATAAGTATACTATGTATACTAAGACCAAAAAAACCCACAACACTATTAAACACTCATTCACTGATCACAGCTATGAGCTTGACTAGGGTAATATAAGACTCACAGATTGGTAATACATTTAACCAAGTGGAATTACTCTACCTTTTTGACAATTTTTTTTGCTTGCAATACATTAAACTCAAATATACCGTGCCCTATCACAGGATCTACTCAAGGATAGATTGTTGGAATGAAGTCAGTCTGTCCTAACTCCTTTCTAAAAAGATTACTAGAAATACAAAGCAACTTCATGCTAGAATGGCTGGACGGTGGAATTGCAATAGTTAACTTACCAATAACCTTATTTACTTAACGAATGGCAGTAGAGTTATTATTTAGTATTATTAGACCAGAAAATAATCAAGACATTTACCAGTATCATCTCCTACTTCTCCATTTAATGCTACATAAATTCCTATGCTTAGATAATGCCTGCATCTGCCTCTAATAAAAAAAATAAAATAGGTCTTAGAAATAAGAGCTCAAGCAAATTAATTTCTTTCACGCTTGCTTCTTTTTTTTAAACTAAGTTGGTTCTCTTTTCTTCTCGATCTTGGGCATAAACCATTATTTACTTCCTTAGATAAAAACAGTATAGTTTTAGAAACAGATTTTTACTTTGCCTGGTGGTATCCTAACTACCTATTTCCACTAGATGGGACAAGTACAAAAAATGATTTAGGGTATTAAAATTTATCAATAGACAACCTACAAAAGATATGCTGAACATATCTGTGGTCAGAAATACTCATGGCTTTAGTTAACATTTTGACTAAAATGAAGTGATGGCAAATTTTCCCACAAATCATACATTTCTTTTAATAAAAAAGAAATTTCCCTAAAAGAGCAAGTCAATTCTTTGGACTCTTTAAATCGCAAGAAACAACAAGACTCAGGCAAATAACTATGAAAAAACCCCCAATAACTTCTCTTCTGACAACATGTAAGCATGAAATGGCAACCAGCTTCCCTCAATATTTTTTTAAAATATTTTATTTTTAAGTAATCTCTATACCCAATGTGCGGCTTCAGTTTACAATCCTGAAATCGACAGTCCCATGCCCTACTAACTGAGCCAGCTATGTGCTCCCCCGCCCCACCTTAATCTTTCTTTTAAGTAGGCACCATGCCCAGTGTGGAGCCCAACACCCCAACACACGCGGGGCTTGAACTCGCAACCCTGAGATCAAAACCTGAGATCAAGAGTTCATGCTTAACCGACTGAGCCACATAGGCACTCCTAATTTTTTTTTTTAACATACAGTGGTTTAAGGAAATTAACTAAGAAAGCATAAAATAAATTACTAAATAAATTTTATGCCATCAAAAACTAACTCATAGTAAACAAAGCATAAAAGCTTTCACTACTTGATACAGGATTGAGAAGGCAGAATGATACCTATGTAAGAGATATGGGGGGGAGGGAGGACTATTTAACAGAATGCTGTGGGGAAGAATTCATTTAATTATGTACCAGTGTAAAATCTTACTTTTTTTGGTTAAGAAAATATAAGTCAAAACAACTATGTATTTGGCTTTGTATTGTACTGCATTATAGTGTAGGCTCTAAAGAGCTGGGAAAACCTAGCCAAGTTAAACAATATATGTTTAACAATAGAATTCTTGTGAAAACTGAGCACCACATGGGACAGTAAAATTCTCATTTTATGCCTCAGTGTAGGCGATTCCTACACCGCAATTTCAATGATGATCTTCAAGTTTATCACAGTGCTAATAAGTCATGTACTCAATAAACTATTGTTTAGGAAAGATAAGCAGAAACATTTAAAAACAAAAATAAAAAACAGACATATTTAAAAGAGACACTTCCACAGTTATTAAAATACCTGTAATATAAATAAATGTACAAATAAAAATGCACATGATATCACAACTAATACATTCTTAATGCACTTTATGTGCTGCCTACAACTGACTTGGTTTACACAAACTGAAACGTAAAGCAGAGATCAAAACTATTAGCAAAACTCTCCATTCAAGTTTAAGAATGATTAAAACCTCTACTATGATTTTCAGGTAACAGCAAGCATTTCCTTCTACCTTTTGCAAAGGTGCTTTCATTTAAAATAGAAAAATTAATTGTAAATTACTATACAAAGAAGTTTTACACGAATTCAAAACAATGTATTAATGTCTACTCACGAATATCTGGCACTTAAAATATAAAATAAGTCAGATTTCCCTAAACATCTACTTCATAACTTTAGGATAATGCAGCATCACTATCATATGCAGGAACCATGCAACAACAACAAAAAAATTGGTGCTAATTCTTGGTCCGGATAATTTTCCTTAGTTCACACACAGATACTGTTTCTGAATAGCAACCTGTAATGGTAGTGAATTATTTTTGAAAACCTGTAAATCCGTTGATAAGTTAAACCATGAATCTTCACAGACCACCGTTCAGCTACATAAATTTGTTCATTGTTATATGGTTGATATTTTTAACTTTGAATACTAGGAAACCTCTCAGTCAAGAAAAAAATCCATTGGGTCAATCCCCTTATCCCTACCTCCCCCATACACCAAAACAAACAGAAAAAACCCCCAAAACCTCCTCCCCAGCTTTTTTCTTTAAACAAAACAAGTAATTTAACTACTTCTTTTTCAGCTATCCTCCGCTGCACCTTTACCTTAAACCAAAACGGACCCCATACAAGACTTATTATTAAGCTCTGTTTCCAGGAGACTCACAAGTGGCGTTTCGCGGTAAGGACCGGGAGCAGTAAGGCCCCCCAGTTTTCAGACCCTTGTCTCAGCATTTCGTACTGTCTCAGTTCTAGGGTTAAGAAGAGGAGCCCAGAAAACTGGGCCTGAGAGGGCAGAGCCAGGGCCTAGACCGCTGCACGATCCCCGAGGCGGCTCCGGAGGTGGGGAGGAGGTAGGAGGCACCGAAAACCGGACCCTGGAGGCCAGGAGTGTCCACATAAACGAGGAGGCACTCGGACTTGGAGCGCAAAGCTCGGGACCCCCTTTGCTGCCTCCTTTACCCTCCCCTCCCCCATGCTGGAGAAGCAGGGCCCAGGCCCGGTGCGGGAAGGGGGAGGAGGTAAACTCGTCCTGTCACTGCACCGAGAGACGGGAAGAAGCACATGTTTTACGGGGAGAGGCCGCGGTGGCCCCTGCCCCAACCTCTAAAGCCAGACACCACCTCTAACCCCACAGTTCCGTCCCCTCCGCCTCACCAAGTCGTAGTCCTCCTCATCATCGCACATGAAATCATCCTCCATGTCAGACATCTTGGCCGGGAGGGGGGGAGAGGGAGGAGAAATTGGAGACAACCTCCTCCCACAATGCTCCACGGCTCAGAGGCGTCACTCGCAGCTTCTCCTCGCCTTCCCGTCGCTCTTAGAGGAGCAGAATGTTTCCTCCCGGAACAAATGCGCTCGGTATCGGGAGGATTCACTACGACGCCAAAAGGGAGTGCACTGCCCCTTCTTCCTGCGAGGCGGTTGGTGCCTTAGCAACTAAACCTAGCAACTGGGGAATCGTCTAGTGCTGAGGATCTCCGCCGAAGGGCCTTGGAAACCTTGAGCTCACACTGAGCAGTTTCCAGCCTCCTGGGCAAGGGAACAGTCTCTTCCCTTGCCTGGGACTCTGGAACCATTTCATTCTGGTGAAAGTAAGAGGCACCGTAGGACCAGAAGCCTTTCGCGGAGAAAAGGCTGACATGCCCGTCCTATTTGACAGGTAGTAGTATTTCTGCTTCATCTATTTGCCATTTTGCCCACATATTGTGGTGGGTATTCCTGTGATGTTTGGAGACCTTTTGAGCGGCACGGTTTACACCTAATGCGTGTTTGTAGTCGGCAAAACGATACTGTGGCTGTCCCACACCGTTAAGCATCAATCAATTGAGGCGCCTAAAGTCTTATTCAGTTGTTCAACAGGTTATAAACTGACCTTTACTGCCCTTACCCGAAATTAAGGTAACAGTAAACGACTGGTTTTTAAAATATGCATTATTGTTGCACAAAATCATTAGCAGAATTCAGAATGAAAAACACGAAATACAAGGGGAAAACTGCGTTTCAAACAGCACTTTGAATATAAACTTCCAGTTCTGTTCACTTGAATCCACAAATTTTATATAGTTATAGCACAGATATAATTTCGGATTATTTTTACACCAAGTTATGTAACAACACCGGACAATATATTGGGGGTCCCATTACATGGGACCGTATATTCTTGGCAATGATCATTTTAATAGTTGGGTAATAATCCCTTCGTTGAATGTACCAACTCATAATGATTTACTTAAGCATGCCATTATTGTTACACATTTAGAATATTGCAAAACCAGTATTATTTTAAACAATTTTGCTGCTAATATATTTGTCAGTTTATTTTTTTCTTAGGAAAAAGCCCAAGAAGAGGAATTACAGTCTGCATTTTTTAGTAATCCATTGAATTGTGATCTTTTTGGTTATAGTTCTTAAAAGTTATATTTATAACAATGATACTGCCTACCTATAAACAAAGTTTTTCCCTAATAGTCTTTTCCTCTCACCGTTTTATTGTGAGAATTTCAAACATACAGAAAAACTGAAAGAATAGTCCAGTGAATATGTGTGTACCCACTATCAGCTTTTTGTTTGTGTATATATTCCCTGAATCAATGGAAAGTAAAATGCAGATATCATGATACATCACTCTTAAGTGCATCTATGTATATGTCCTAAAACCAAGGACATTTTCTTATGTTTTCAGATTATTACATCAAGAAAATTAATAATTCCCCAATGTCTTCTACACTTGATCTTAGCCAAAAGGCTGAGAAGCGATCCCCAATGTCTTCTAATACCAAGTCCATATTCAAAATTCCCCTGTAAGACATAGGATTTTTGAATTGGAAGAGCCTTTAATGATATCACTTTAGGGTCTAAGGCTTTCCAATCATGGCAGTTCATTAGATTATAATTTCCCAAATCCCATACCAGAGATTCTGATTCAGTAGGTCTGGGGTAGAGCTTAGGATCTATACTTGTAAACCTTAAAACAAACCAAAAAAAAAAAAAATCTCCCTATAACTGAGGTGACTTTACATCCTAGTTTTCTGAGACAGCCCTGATTTAGTACTGCTGTTCCAGAATAATAATTGTCATCCATCACTCTCAGAAGTTTGAACCGTAAGTCACATGGTTACTTTACCTGAAATCCATAATTCTTCAAAAGAGAAAATAGAATTCCAAGGTGGCTAAGAGGTTTATTTGCTCAGAGTAATCAGAACTACATTGTTGTGCTTTCTATTTGTATAGCAATTTTGCAATTATCTGTTAACCATGTACCTAGTGATCACATGAATAAAACTGCATGTTGATTTACATTGAATTTATTGATATAATTTTCTGCTTTTAATGTAATTCTTTACTTTTACAATGGAAAAATAATTATTCAACTTAAGTTACTGACTAGGAGCACTAGAAAAACTGCAGCTAAATTTTGAGCATAATATTCTTAGTCATTTACAAATTTAACCAACCCAGTCTGGAAATTTTCTAAGACAGAGAAAAAGGTTTTCACAGTGCTTGGGGATACAAGTCCTAAAGAAATGTTTGTTGAATGAATAAATGTTAATTTTTCTTTAAAAAGTTTTAAATCTTTATATATTTATTTATTTTAACATTTATTTATTTTTGAGAGACAGAACACGAGCAGGGGGCAGGGCAGAGAGAGAAGGAGACACAGATCTGAAGCAGGGTCCAGGCTCTGAGCTGTTAACACAGAGGTGAACATGGGGCTTGAACCCACAAACCTTGAGATCATGACATGAGCTGAAGTCAGATGCTTTACCAACTGAGTCACCCAGGTGCCCCATGTTTATTTATTTTTTGAGAGACAGAGAGAGAGAGAGAGCGTGAGCAGGGGAGGGCAGAGAGAGAGGGAGACACAGAATCCGAAGTAGGCTTCAGGCTCTGAACTACCCGTACAGAGCCAGATGCAAAGCCACAAACAATGAGGTCATGACCTGAGCTAAAGTCAGATGCTCAACTGACTGAGTGCCCCTAAATGTTAATTTTTTCTGTGCAGGGAGTGCCCTTATTAGCTATCTCTATGCATCAAAATATTTTCTGTCCTTAAAGATCCATTTAAGTGTCACCTCACTCAACCTATCCTGAATACTTTGTGCAATTATGATAGTCTTTTTTTCTTGACATCAGTTTTATTCAGTGGTAAATAATACATTTTTTTAAAATGTTAACAGGGAGCACTGATGTGATGTGATGCCTTTGTAGAAAGTGGATCCTAAGTTTTAAAAATATATATTAAGGGCGCCTGGGTAGCTCAGTCGATTGAGCATCCAACTTTTGATTTCAGCTCAGGTCATAATCCCAGGGTTGTGGGATTGAGCCCCGCTTTGGACTCCATGCTGGGCATGGAGCCTGCTTAAGATTCTCTCTCTCTCCCTCTGCCCCTCTCCCCTGCTCTCACTCTCTCTCTCTCTCTCTCGAATAAAAATAAAATAATATAAAGATATATATTAAACACTTAATTAAGGTATAATCTTATCAGCTTCATTGAGATACAATAGCTGCGCATCCTTAAAGTGTACACTTTGATGAATTTTGACATATGTATACACCTGTGGAACCATTACCACAACCAAGGTAGTGAGGATATTTATTACTGCAGAAGTTTCCTCATTACTTCTTGGTAATCCTTTTTCAACCCTCTTCACTTTTCTCAGGCAACCACTGATCTACGTTTTGTCATATAGATTATTTTTCATTTTGTGAAATTTTATATAAATGAATCATACGTTATGTACTCTCTTTTGCCTGGCTTCTTTCACTCAGTATAATTACTTTGAGATTCATCCATATTGTTTCAATTGGTTTCAATTGATTGTTTCTTTTTATTGCTGAGTGTTCCATTGTATGGATATCTTACAAGTTCTTTGTTAACTTGTTGATGGATATTTGAGTTTTTTCAGTATTTACCTTATACAAATAAAGCAGCTAGGAACATATGTGTACAAGTTTTTGTGTGGACATATGTTTCATTTCTTACGAGTAATGGGGTGGACAGACTGAAGGTGGTCTTCTTATTACCCATGCTCTTGGATAATCCTTTCCCATTGAATGTGGGTGGGATCTGTGACTTGCTTCTAACCAATAAGATACAGCAAAGGTGATGTATGTGATTATGTGTATATAATTATGTTATACAAGATTGTAAACTCATCTTGCTGGAGAGACTCTATCCCCCTTGTTGCTTTGAGAAAGTAAGAGGTGATGTTATGAAGGATCATGTGTCAATGAGCTGAAGGTACCACCTGACCAACAGCCAACAAGAAGCTGTGGCCTTCACTCTGGCAATGCACAAGAACTAAATACAGTAAAACCTTGGTTTGCGAACATAATTCGTTCCATAATGCTTGTGACCCAAAGCACTTGTATCAAAGCAAATTTCCCCATAAAAAATAATGGAAACATAGATGATTCATTCCACAACTGAAAAATATTCATATAAAAATGATTATGATTCTGTAATGTAAAATAATAAAGAAAACACAAAATATGAAGAAAAATAAATTAACCTGCACTTACCTTTGAAAACCTTTGTGGCTGGTTGTGAGGGAGAGAAGAGAGGAGGGTTATTATGTAGGACGACTTTCACTATCACTAGCACACTAAGAGAATCACTGCTATCTATTGGCTCAATGGAATCTTTTTCTTTTCATACAACTTTAACAAGGAACCTATCCAATAGCACTTGCTTTTGCCTTCCTTTGAGGATTTCATAGAAATGTGACATTGCATTGTCATTAAACAGATTCATTGTTAGCACTGCTACAGCCTTATTCAGCCTTGCTTTTTGGGTGGTGCTTTTCTACAAAATTTTGCACTGTTTCCCACATTTTACACATCTCCATAATTTCATTTGAAGTGAGGGATTCCTCTGCCTTTTTCCCCTCCTCCTCTACAGACGAGACGCAGATGTAGACTTCTTATAAAATCTTGCAATTCCGGCCACTCACATACATCATTCGTATTTCTCTATGGTTTTCTTCTTAACTTTCACAGTAATCATCTCCTTCTTACTGCCATTCTTTTCAACCTCTTTCTGTATGGGGGCCATTGCTTGCATGGATGTTGACTATAGTACAGTATTAATAATCTCTTGTCATATACTGTATTTAATGTAACTGGCAATAAGGCAGCTGAGGAAAGGGTCTATATCTGCAGGCAGCCTGACCTAGAATGAAGCAAAGCATTCCTAAGCTTACTGTCATATGGAAAAGCAAAGGACTGTCCAAAAAGTGCCTTGAAGTGACAAAAATATACTAGTGCCAGTTGTGGGCACCTTCCAACATTCTGAAAAATCACTGATTTCTGCCAAACACCGTGGCCTGAGACTGAGCATCTGAGCATGGGACACAGTCACCCACAATCCCTCAGAGAGAGTGAGAGCGAGAGAGAGAGAGAGAGAGAACCATTGGCTCAGTTGCGATCATGTGACATTCAGCATCATGTACTACTCATATTGCAAGACATTGCTTGTTTATCAAGTTAAAATTTATTAGAAATGTTCGCTTGTCTTGCGGAACACTCACAAAACAAGTTACTTGCAATCCAAGGTTTTACTGTATTGCTAACAGGTGATCTTACAAATGAATCTGTCCCCAGTTGAACCTCAGATAAGACTTTGTGAGATGCTAAGCCATACCCAGCTAAGCCATACCC